AACATTGATAGGGGGCCGTATGTGGCCCGCGGGCCGCAGGTTGTGCACCCCTGCCATACAAATACAAGTCCCTGATGTCGACCGTGGCCGTACAGGTGCCCGAAATGTGTTGGCGGTTGTTGTTGGAATCGAAGACTCCGACTTTTATAAATTAACAAACAAAAATGGTACCTCAAGCAGCTTTATACCTGTAATGAGTTCGTAATTTGTAAAGAAAAGTTACTTTCCATAGATATTTCTTCTCAAGAAATATCACCGAGAGAAGCAGCTGCAGCTAATTCGAAGAGTGGAGGGCAATGCTATACACACTATCATTGCAAAAAGAGGTGTTCCACGAATAAATGCAGTTGTAAAAGCAAGTGACTCTTGTGCAATTCAAAGTGCTATAACAGTTTAAGTTGTTGCAATAAATAAGATTGTATAACGTTAATCACATAATTTATGTGTAAGTTTATTATTGTATTATTTTCTTTAATGATTTAGAATGTACTGTTTGTTTTAGGTTCAACAGNTATAACGTTAATCACATAATTTATGTGTAAGTTTATTATTGTATTATTTTCTTTAATGATTTAGAATGTACTGTTTGTTTTAGGTTCAACAGTTTATTTACATGTGCTGTTACTTAAGCTTTCTCCTATTTTGACATATTAAAAAAGTTGCATTTTTGTCTTAATGTAATAAAAATACTTTTATTCAACATTCACCATCAGTGCATGCTGAATGTCGACATTTGCCGGTGTAAGTGAGAAATAATGATATTTAGCAAATATTTCGTACATACACGAAATGACTGTGTGAATGCTGACATTCACCGGAGAATGTTGACATTCGCCAGATATCAGTCATTCACAGTAACATATACATATACATACAAGGTAGCTTCAAAAAGTTCTCAGAATTGGTTTATTACTCAAAAGTATATGTAAAACTGACAAATCAAGCACGAGTCCTTCAAAGTATTGTCCTTTGGCAACCGCACACTTTTGCCAATGCTGGTATAGCTGCTGAAAACATTCTTGGAAGCCGTCTCGCAACAGCTTCTGTAACGCAGATGTCACACTCTGTATGACCTCATCCACATTCTTGAAGTGGTGTTCTTTGATGGCATCTTTCAACCAGAAGAGGTAGAAATTGCATGAGGTCTGCCATGAGCATTCATGGCATTATGTGTTGGCAAATACAGTGCATGTTCAATTGATATTGCAGAATGGAATGACAACTTCCAACCAAAATTCCTGCTGTCTTGGTGATTTGCTCAATTAACTGCCATATGTCTAACCTCATAATCTCACGTACAACTGACACTTCCTCCACAGACGTTGATGTCTACAGATGATCACTTTGCAAATCGTCAAAGATACTTTCTCATCCCTCACGAAAGCATTTTTGCCAGTCATAAACTTGAGAATGTTTCATGGCAGATTCAACATAGGCGGAACTGAAGCACCTTCAAGGTCTCAGAGGGTTTTCTGCCCCAATAATACACAAAATTTGATATTTGCACATTTTTCTTCCACAGGCATTTTTGCCAGACTGTTTCACGATGTCTCACTAACACAACCTTCACTGAATGGTAACTGTTGTCATCTTTGCAGTGAGTACAGATTTTTTTGAACACATTTCTCTATTTCTGACATGTTTAGCTAAGACATGCACTATATGTTCCCTTTTTCATTGCCTTTAATTGACTAACTCATCATAATTCCGGGAACATTTTGAAGCTACCTTGTATATATTCATGATATTTTAATTATTAAAACAAATTTATTCTTCATAAAACTTACATTTAACATAGAAAGAGCATTTTACATAAAAAGGATAATTATTTGTAAATAACTGTTGAGTTATATTCTATTTTTATGAAATAAATTTAAATAAAGAAAACAAAAACAAATTTATTTTTAAATTTATATAATAACTGAAATTTAAATATTTAAAATGCAATAAAGAAAGATTATAATTAAGAGACAATAGTTTCTTTGCATTTTGAGGAAGATTGCTCATCTGATACATATACAATTCCCATATCAGTAAACATTAAGGCTATGCTAAACCAAATTTGATATTGATATCAAATCTAGAATATCAATATTGTAAACATATATCAATTTTGGTTATTGGCATAGCACTAGTAAACATCCTTTCACGAGATATACTACTTGGAAGAGCAGTCAAGTAATGCCTAACCAATTTTGACAATTCTGTATAGATAAATAGCATTATTTGCTCACCAAGGAATATCACATTTGAAAAAATTTTCAATAGCCTTTTAGAATAAAAATTTTCAAACTCCTTTTAGAATAAGACAAAACTCTTCTTGTTTATGTTTACTTTCCAACAAAATTTCATCTGAACAAGATTACTTATCTTGAATCTTATCATCTTTATTTTTCTCATCTTTTCTATGGATTATGTGTTTAAAACAAATTTGAAAGAAGGTGTGAATTATGTGATGAGGTAGATTATACACCAATTTTAGATTGCAATTGCAGCACTGAATCTACGGAGCAATGGCTGTAGGTTATGGTTATGTGTACAAAAGTTGAATATGTTGTGGTTGGAATATGGTTAAAAATATAACCAACATTTCTGTATTTTTCAAACCAGGTGCTAAGTAGCTTCTTAGGACTAAGTATATCACTAACTAAAACTATCTAGAAATCTTATAAAAAATCTTTTGAAAAATTTTTCAAAAAAATTTTAAAACTAAACTCAAGTTCATGCTAACATAATTGACACTCAACTTACAAGTATATTATTTGTAAAATTAAGACAGAAATTTAGTTTGAAGATGAGCTAAAATTCAAAAACTTTTATTGACTTGAACTTAAATGTGTTTATTATTCTTTTAAAGCCCTTTATTGTATATAACATAAAAATTTTGTTTTTTGGAGTTTTCATATTTTACAAATATTTGCACAAATAGATAAAATACAAGCATTCAATGATGATCAATCATCATTATTACCTGGAAAAGGTTATAAAATTTGGCATCATCTTTGTAAACAAATAAATATTTCAAACAGCCTATTTTTATTAATTAAAAGAAATCTTTATGGTCAAAATCTGATCAATTCTCAGCTTGCAATCTTATATTTAACAATTCAGAATGGTTTTTATAAAAAGTTTTAACATACAAATTGTCATTCAAATATATTCAGGTATCAATCTAAATTGGCATATTCCTAATATAACATTAATCAATTGGTTGAGATTTGATTAGTCATTATTTATGATATGTTCAATTAACTTCAGCAGTTTAAAATGTTTATATAATTTAATACTTTAATATATAAATTTGGGAAAAATTCTGAGATGAGCAACCTTTCCTGGATTTGGGCCACAAGGGAATGTAGGATTCCAGCAAGCTACTTACATTTTTTCTTTCAGAGTTGCAGACTAAGCTACTGAGTACCAACATATTTGATAATCTTCAGTATGCTAGGTACTAAAATATGCTAATGATATGCAAATTAGTATATAATTTATTCTTTTCACCTGGTTTAGTTTGAATGTACTTCATCATAGATATCAACTTAAAGCTGCATAATTGTATGGCATGAGACATGAAACAAAAATAAAATTACCTTGCCAAACCCACAAAGTCATGTATTAGAACCCAATACAGGTTGCTCATGACCAATTTAAAATAATGTAGCATAGCATATGAATCATATTTTGACTAAAAACATTTCTTTTAATTAATAAAAGTTGGCTTCCTGAAATTAGAAGTGATTTATTTATTACTGTTATTATTTATTGAGACTGACAATAGAACATTATATTATTAATCCTTATTATCATACTATACTATAACAATACTTGAATATCTGTTTGCAAAAATAAACAAAAGAGACAAAAAATAGTAATCATTTTCAGATTTAATTATTAATTTAATAAACTATTTTTAGATCCAAACTTTATTTAGTTCTCAATCTTGTTAAAATTAAAATTAATTAAAAGCAATATATAAATTTAAATGTTTGTTTTTTCAAAATCTTAAATCTCCGAAAGTTCTTAACTGATTGCTTTGAAATTTTGACACAACGTNCTAAAAATAGTTTATTAAATTAATAATTAAATCTGAAAATGATTACTATTTTTTGTCTCTTTTGTTTATTTTTGCAAACAGATATTCAAGTATTGTTATAGTATAGTATGATAATAAGGATTAATAATATAATGTTCTATTGTCAGTCTCAATAAATAATAACAGTAATAAATAAATCACTTCTAATTTCAGGAAGCCAACTTTTATTAATTAAAAGAAATGTTTTTAGTCAAAATATGATTCATATGCTATGCTACATTATTTTAAATTGGTCATGAGCAACCTGTATTGGGTTCTAATACATGACTTTGTGGGTTTGGCAAGGTAATTTTATTTTTGTTTCATGTCTCATGCCATACAATTATGCAGCTTTAAGTTGATATCTATGATGAAGTACATTCAAACTAAACCAGGTGAAAAGAATAAATTATATACTAATTTGCATATCATTAGCATATTTTAGTACCTAGCATACTGAAGATTATCAAATATGTTGGTACTCAGTAGCTTAGTCTGCAACTCTGAAAGAAAAAATGTAAGTAGCTTGCTGGAATCCTACATTCCCTTGTGGCCCAAATCCAGGAAAGGTTGCTCATCTCAGAATTTTTCCCAAATTTATATATTAAAGTATTAAATTATATAAACATTTTAAACTGCTGAAGTTAATTGAACATATCATAAATATTGACTAATCAAATCTCAACTCATTGAATAATGTTATATTAGAAATAATGTCAATTTAATATATCTGAATGAAAGTTTGTATGTTAAAACTTCTTTATACTAATAGTTAATTTGAATCAATGGATAGTAACCATTCATTCAAATTTCAAAACACAAAACCGGCAGACGACATGACAGTTCGTAGAAAGAAATCACATTCATCATCGCCGAATTAAAACGAAAAAATATCGAACGTTTAAATGCTTTTAATTATTTCCATTACCTGTTCTTCAAACCTTGTTATCAACGAAGAAACCCATTCTACTGGTTTCTGCGTGGCCATTGTTGTATAATATATCAAAAACATCAAAGACAGAAGACGGACTCGATCTCAATCTTCCGTCTCCATCTTTTCCCGTACTCTAACCGAACGTAAACCGAAAAATCATAGATATTCCTTTCTTAATGCAATACGTTTAATGAATGAAAAGTGAAATTTTTCTTTTTATTTATTTTATTTTTTTATTTATTTTTTATTAAAAAAAATAATTATAATTTCTTTTTGTTAAATATTTCTATTTGTTTA